TCTCTCTAATAGAAGAATTTATATCTGGGAGTTATGGTGTTGGGGAAAGAGTAGTAAATATCACATGGACTGACAAAAGAACAAAAAATATGTCTTGAAGAAAGTGTAATCAAGATATTCCTTGAATGCAAGGATGGTGAAGCTTTATCACACATACCTTGCATATATTGTTAGGATGTGTCAACCCTTGCAAAAGGACACTATTCTTGGAAAATGGAGGGTCAATGAAAGAGAGAATGACCCTCAACCAGATGGTGAAGACAGCAAAGGATTGGGCAAGGCCTATCAACAAATGAATGGATAGAGAAGCTCTGATATATTCACATAATGGAATACTCTACTGCATTGAAAAAAACCAAAGAACTCATGAAATATACAAAATGGGTGACCGTGGAGGACATTATACTGAGTGAAATATCTCTGTCACTAAAGGACAAATACTGCATAGTACCACTGTTGTAAAATGAAACTGACATTGGGGTTGGAGGGAGACTGAGAGAGATGGGATAAATTATGTATGGGATAAATTATGTATACTGCATTGAAAGAGATGAGGGAGAGAACTGTTTAAAAGGGATATATGATTAGGTATTATTGTCATGACAGAAGTTCATAATGAAGGCTGCGTAGTGATTGGACTTGGGGGGAGGGATTGTATAATAATGAAAGAATTTTTCTTTCACTTTTCAAAGAGAAGAGCGAGCGGAGTGGGGGAAGGTTGGGCAGGGAGAAAAGTGCAACAAAGAATGAATGGAAGTCCAAAGTCCCTGTAAACTTTCATTAAAATTTATAAAAAAATTAAAAAACAAAACTAAACAAAAAATAGAAAAGGTATTTGCAATGAATAAATCATTGATGGTACAAAATTCTAAAAAAAAAAAAAATTAAAAACTTTGACTATGAGGTTATCAGGTTTGATTCCTTTAATGCTAAAGAATGAAGACCAGATGAACTGTGGGAGGATATCAGAAGTATCATCCATGAAAAATGGAAAAGGTCGTCGGTGAGAGCGGAGCAGATCCGGCATCGCCAGGCCATTCAAAAAAAAAAAAATGCAAAAGGTCATTACAAAACAGAAGAAGGGAAAAAAGGCCAAAACGGATGTTAGAAGAGACTCTGAATATTCCACCAAAGTGCGAGAAGCCAAAGGAGAGGGAAGAAATCAAGAAGTTAGCGAGTTGAATATAAAATGTGAAAGGATAGCATGGGGGAAACAAAGGGAAGTATTTTAATGAAATGTACAAAGAACTGGAGTCTGAAAATCAAAAGGGCTATCCTTGCTCAGCATTTCTTACACTGAAGGAACTAAAGAACAAATTCAAGTCTCAAATTGCAATGCTTAAGGTTGCTGTGGGTAGAATATTGAATGATCCATGAATTATTAAGATTATAATTGAAGAAGAATTGGCTGACATGGAAGAATTTCAAGAAACAACATATGATCAAGAGGCAATGGTGATGAAGGAGGAAGTTCAGGCTGCTCTGAAAGATTTGACAAAAAAGAAAGCCCTAGGAATTGATGGAATACACTTGATATATTTCAACAAACAGATGCTGCTCTGGACGTGTTCATTAGGTTATGCCAAGAAATCTGGAGGACAACTACCTGGCCAGGGGACTGAAAGAGATCCATATTTTTTCCCATTAAGAAAAAAAAAGTGAGTCATTAGCAATAGAGTGTGAGAATTATTGTACAATATCATCTATATCACACACAAGCAAAATCCTGCTGAAGATAATCCAGAAACAACTGGCACAGGACATTGACAGAAAATTACCAGAAATATAAGGTGGGTTTAGAAGAGGTTGTGGCACTAGAGACATCGTTGCCATCTATCTATGTTTCATTGACTATGCAAAGGCATTTTTCTGTGTAGATCATAACAAATTGTGGCTAACCTTGAGGAGAAACAGAATCCCTGAACTCTTGATTGTGCTTATATTAAACCAATACTTGGACCAGCAAGCAGCTCTCAGAACAGAGCAGGGAAACACGGCAAGGTTCAAAATCAGGAAGGGAGTGCTTCAGGGATGCATCCTGTCTCCATACCTTTTCAATTTATATTCAGAACAGTTCATTGGCTGGGCTTTAAGAGGAGGAATTGTCAGGATTGGAGGAAGATTCATCAACAACCTACATTATGTGGATGATACAATCTTGGTTGCTGAAACTGAGGAAGATCTGAAGCACTTGCTGCAGAAGGTTAAGGACGGTAGTCTTCAATATGGATTGAAGCTCAAGATCAAGAAGACAAAGATTCTCTTCACTGGGCCAATTAGCAGCACCATGATGCATGGAGAAGAGATTGAGGTTGTTAACTGTTACAGCTTGCTGGGCTCCACAATCAATGCTTTTGATACCAGCAGTCAGGGAATCAAAAGTTGAATTGCGTTAGGCAAATTTGCTTTTAGGGACTTTTCCAGAGTACTGAGAACAATGATGTCAGTCTACAAACTAAGGTGCATCTGATCCAGTCCACGGTCTTCGTAATTACTTGCTATGAATCAGAGATAATGACCAAGAGTGATAGAATAAAAGATGCCTTTGAGTGGTGGTGCTGGAGAACAGTCTTGAACATACCACCAACCACCAAAAAAACAAATAGGTCTGTCTTGGAGAGGGTGAAACCACACTTTCCTTGGAGGCTAGGATTTTGAAGGTCTTACATACTTTGTACATGTGACCGGGAGGGACCAATCTTTAGAGAAGGACATCATGCTCAGAAGGGTGGAGGGACAGTGCAGGAGAGGAAGACCGAGGATGGGATGGACTGATACAGTAAGTAGGGCAATACAGGTAAGAATACTGGAGTCAGTGAGACTGGCTCAGGAAAGCATAGGCTTCAGAGCTATTCTACATAGGTCACTATGAGTTGCAGAAGACATAATGGCACATAACAACAACAATATTTGTAAAATTTAACCAGTTTAATGAATTTCAGTTTTTGTAAAGAAGATTATTAATGTGGTTTTTAGTGGGGACGGAAGACTAATACTTAAATTGCAACATCTTACAAATAATTTTTTCTGTAGAGGTGATCTACATTTCTTTCTTGTGATATTTTATTCTGGTTTTGATTTTAAGATAATACTGACAATATAGAATGAATTTTAAGTGGTGTCTCTCTTGGAATTCTAAAAAAAAAAAAGAGAGAGAAAAAACAAACAAACAAAAAATCAAAACCAAAACCGAACCCAAACCCTCTCATTTCTGCTGTTGTTGCTAGGTGCTATTAAGTCAAGTATGACTCATAGTGACCCAATGAACAACAGATCTGAACTGTGTCCTATCCTGTGACATCTTCATGCTTTCTGACACAGTAGAGCCCATTGCCAGAATCACTGTATCAATCTACCTGGTTGAGCGTCTTCCTCTCCTTTGCTGACCCTCCAATCTTCCTAGCATCGTGCTCCTCTCCAAGGAACAGAGCCTCCTAGCAACATGCCCAAAGTATGTGAGGCAAAGTCTCGTTGTTCTTCCTCCAAAGCACTCTAGCTGCACCCTCTCCAAACCTATCTGTTCATTCTTTCTGTAATCCACAGGCTGTTCAATACTCTTCTCTAACACCACAGCTCAAATACATTAATTTTTCTCTGTCATCCCTAATCATTTTCCAGCTCTCAGATGTACCAACTCATAGTTGACACTCTAGTTTTCAGAAGCTATAAATCACATGGGAAGAATTTATCTATTTTTTTCATTGAGTAGTTACTGAATTAAAATAATCTCCTTTTGATTTGAATGCTTTTGAGTTAGCAGTACAAATTGCTATGAACTACACTAGACCTCACCTTATCACCACTAACTCAATGAATTGAAATTACTTACCCACCATAGCCACTAAAGCTCCCTTAATTGCAATTGTTGTTAAGTGCCATCAAATTGACTACCACTCATAGTGACCTTATGAACAATGGATTTGAATCTTGCTCTATTTGTGCCATCCTGATCATCTCTGGCATATTGAAGCCCATTGTTAAGAGTTACTATCTCAATCCATCTAGTTGAGGGTCTTGGTATTAATTCTTTAATTAAATATTTAGTTGAAATCATCAGTAAAGTAATTTAGACCTGGGATTTAGTACCTTGTGGGAAGGTTTGCTATGATAAATTTTATTTCTTTACTTTGTTATCTACCTATTCATATTTTTCTATTCCTTCTTGAGTCAATGATATAACTTGTTTCTAAGTGTTTTTCCACTGTGTCTAGGTTGTCTAGTTAATGTATTGTTTAGCATAATTTCCTTATAATCATTATTATTTCCACAAGACCAGCAGTGACATTTCTTCTTTCACTCATAATTTCAAACATTTGCCTTTTAAAACTCATCAGTATAACAAAAGGTTTGTGACTTAGATACTTTAAAGCATCAAATTTTAGAATATTGATATTCTCTTGTTTTAGGATATCTATTTTCTGAATTCCATTTTAGTTAATTATTATTTTTTTCCCTTCTCATTGTTTTAGGTTTAATTTAGTCTTCTTTGCCTAGTTTCTTCAGGCAGAAAATTAGGTTTTAGGCTTGACATGTTTCTTCTTTTTTAATATAGATAGTTATTATTATAAACTTCTCCCTAAACACTCCTTTACGTGCATACTGTATGTTTGCATGATGTGTTTTCATTTTCATGTATTTAAGAGTATTTTCTGATTTCTCTTGTGATATATTTTCTACTAAAGGTTTTATTTTCAAGTTAAAAGTTACAATTAAATACTGATATTTTAAATGAAAGAGAGCACTAGTGATCTAGTAGCAACAAGTTGCACTGCAATCCTGAAGGCACACGGTTTGAGGCCACCAACTGCTCTGCTGGAGAAGGATGGACAATCTCCTCCCATGAAATTAAATGCCTCTGAAAACCTGCTAGAGGATCAGCTATGGGTTGTTTCTGACTTGATGTAACAATATACAGTAAACAATAACAACAGTTTCATATAAATATATAGAGAGATATTTATCATCTATCTATCTGTCTATCTATCTATTAACACTTTTACCTCAGAAGGCATTTCATAAGTTTCATTATCAGGATCCACAGGCATGTCTTCAAGAATTCCTTCCTGTGAGACTCCTTCTTCACCCTAATATTAAAAGCAGACAAGAACATAATGAAGTATTAGTTTTGACTTACTAAAAATCCCAATTTTGTTTTTTTAAAAAACTATATAATATTTGGCAGTAAGGAAAAGTACACAGTTCTAATTCACTAGCTGCTCTACAGAAGAAAGATGAGCAATCTCCCCCAGTTCTATTTACAGTCTCTTAAAACTAGCCGAAAGGTCAGCTATGAGTCCGTTCCTACTTGGTTGTACACAAAAACAACAAGAAGAAAGAAATTGGTAATCCTAAATATTGTTGTTGTTGTTAAGTGCTGTAGAGTCAAAGACAACTCATTAGCGACCCTATGAATGAAATATCTGAACATTTGTATAACTTTCATCGTTTCTCCAAGTTCATAGAGTTTCTGGATGCAAGCTATTTTGGAAGTAGATGCCACTCCTGCAGACACTTTAATTTAAATTATGTAATGCCCTTGTAAAACATGTTATATTGTAAAAACACAAATTATTAACAATAAACATTTAGAAAATTTTGATCAATTAATTAAACATTCAGCAAATATTTGAAATCTATAGTCTTAAGTAAGACTAGAAGATTCACCAATAACCTACTTTGTTCCTAAAAAGTAACGATATCGTTTTAAGAACCAACGGATGTTTGATGCAAACTATAGAATTTTCAATTGTTTCTTTTACATCAGAAAGTGGGACAATGAACAAGGAAGATCAAAGTAGAATTGATGCCTTTGAATTGTAGTATTAATGAAGAGTATTGAATAACAAACAGATCTTTCTTTGAAGAAGAAAATTCAGGGTGTTTCTTAGGGTTAAGGAGGGCAAGATTTCTGTTTCACATGTTAGGCTCCTTAGAGTTAAGGATGGCGAGACTATCTCACATACTTTGGACATATTATCAGAGGGAGTAGTTAATGGAAAAGGATATAATTCTTGTGAGATCAGAGGTCAATTAAAAAGAGGTAGATCCCCAACAAAATGGATTGACACAGTGAGAGCAACAGTTGGCGTAAGCAGTGTAGACTTTGCATAGGGCACAGGGAGGGGTAACATTTTGATCAGTTCTACATAGGGTCGCTACATCTAACAATTTGCAACAAATATGTTTCTGTCATGTGTACTGTAGAGAGGGAAATGACCCATAGCTGACCCTTCAATGGGTTTTCAGAGGCATTTAATAGCATTGGAGGACATTGCCATCCTTCTTCTGCAGAGCAGCGAGTGGATATGAACTGCATTTGGGATAGCAGTGCAACTTCTTGCCACTAGGCCACCAGGGCTCCCTCCCAGGGCAACAAATAAAGGGGGCTGAAAATATGTTCATATAGTTGGATAAAATTAGCAAATGATAATCAGAAGAAACTCTACAGTAATGTGGTTGACTTTCTATTGTAGTGGTTCAAATCCACCCAGAAGCACCTTGGTCTACAGATCTTGTTCTGAAAGATCACAGTCACTGAAAACCTTATGTAGTTCTACTCAAAAGTTTATGGGGATCTCCAAGAGATGTAATCAACTAGAAGACCACTACTTTTTCTTGTTTTGTTTTTATTTTCCTGGTGGTAGGTAAAAGTAGACTTGAGAGAATTTCAGCAAAATAGAATTATATAGGACTGGCTTACAGTATTCTTATTTGGACCTTGACTTAAGCAGATGAAAAGGAATTATGAGATAGTAATGAGAATTGTCAAATTTTTGTAGGTATCATAATATATTGTAGTTTTGATTTACAAATAAGTCCTTAACTCATACAAATTAAGTAACTTAAGATCAAAAGGAAAAAAATGATGTATAAATATTTGCTTTGAAGCAGCTCAAGGGTGTTCAGAAATGAGAAAAGAAGGAGAGTGTTATGAATTGATAATTAGTTGTTTATGCCTGTAATTTTTCATAAAAAAGTTTTTAAAAGTGTATAACTTATTTTAAGAGTAATTTCTACAACTTTAATATGCTTTTCTGAATGTCAAGATATGATCTATACTTTTGGCCTCCCTTATAACAATATATGTATAAATATATATAAATATTTGGCTTCTATCACAATAGAAAACAAAGTGTTAATCTAATTATACATAATATGAAGAAATTTATAATCACTGGATATAATTTTATTTCTAACCCTGTATATTTATTGTTTTATAAATTTGTTCTAAGAACATTATTTGATTGTTATCTGTAAAGTTCTATTTTAAACCATTTTAATTTCTAATTCCATTTAGACTATACCTAATGATGCTTTGGATGTTACACATAGACAACAAAATTCTATTTCACAGATGTTAAGAACTTGCTTTCTATATATAATCATATTTAATATATGAACTATAGAGTCCTTCTGGAATACACAGGGTTAATAGTGGCTATGGTACTAGTGACTATGAAATACATGCAAAAGGACTTGGCTATGATTCCTGAAAGCAGGCAAACAATACCAAGAATAGATGGGACTGAAAGCAGTCTCAGACTTCATGGAGCATGTACCATTATGAAAGGGATCGAGAAGTTCTCTGTAAAACACAGACTATTTTCTAAAGTTCTTGACAAGGTTGTTAAGAGTGCAGTACCTTGTTCATGAATACAAAGATGTTTTCTTGAAAACTGTTCATGCCTATTTATGCTTTATTCCATATGTTTAAACATTTCCCCACCCTACGAATCATGTTTTTCTGTAAGCTTTGATTTTCTGAAAATAAAAGCAGGGGCTTCACAATCTCTCAGCATCATTTGCCTGAGAGAGCGATGACACTCTGTGAAAACCCACATTTCTTCTCACTGGTCTTCTCTCGACTCCGCTAACACACAAACAACATGACCTGCAATTTTATTCATTTTACCACAAAATATGGTCACCACAATGAGATACTATCTTAATCCAGTAACAGTGACAAAGCTTAACAGGACAACAAATAATATGTGACAAGATAGGAACTCTTATACATTGTTGGTGGGACTGTAAAATGGTACAATTCTGGAAGGCAGTTTGGTGCTTCCTCAAATAGTTCAACATAGAAGTTCCACATGACCCAGCTATTCCACTGCTTGTAATATATACTGATAAATGAGAATTGAAGCAGAAATGGAGACTTGTACACTAATATTCATAGCAGTGTTAGTCACCATTGCAGGAACATGGGAACAGCCCAGATGTCCAACCACAATCAAATGCATTGAGAAACTAGGGTACATTCATACAATGGAATACTACGTACTAAACAAGAGCAATGATTCTGTAAATTATTACCTAACGTGGGAGGGACTGGAGAGAATTATGCTGAGTGAAAGAACTCAATTCCACAAGGACAAATATTATATAAAACCATTATTGTAGAATGAGTATCAAGATCCAAGGGGGAGGGGGTGGAAGAGAAGCAAAGGGATGAGGATGTGCAGGGGAAGAGAGATTAATTATGGGGTTATACAATTTGATGGGGAGGTGAGGGAAATTGGAAGGATCTGGTCTGAAAAACAATGTATTGAAATTTTGTAAATAAACTAGTATAAATTTTGTAAAAAACAGTAAAAAAATAATGTAATATAAAAACTTCTGTCTTGGAACAAAAAGTTTCCATTATAATAACTATTAAATGTTCTTGAAAAAGTTATTTTGTTCTCATGTTTTAGAAAGAGTTATTTTGTTCTCATGTTTTTCTTATGTTACTCTACTAAGCTGTTGTTGTTGTTAAGTGCCATTGAGTCGCAGGCGACTCATAGCGACCCTATGAAGGAGAGTCCTCAATGACTGGGTGTCTTTCATCCTCTCTCCAGGTCCATAGGCTTTCCAGAGGCAAGCTATTATGGAATTGGATGACACTCCTGCTTCCAAGCTTGTTTTAATCGGGGAGCTCCACCCCACTCTCTGTCTACATTGGGTAACCGACCATTAACTCATTTGACATATCAGAAAAACTTGAGGGTCCATAGGCAGGGAAGCTATGAAAGGGGAAGAGATGGAAAACCCTCTGCCTTCAAGCCACCTAGTAAGAAATAAAATAATGACTTTAAAAATTTGCCTTCTGGCATATGTCCTGCATGTGAAGAGGAGAAGAGTGGGAAAATTATATATAGAGTACATAGACTTAGTAATGGAATATCTTTGATGAAGTGGATTAAGCATTAAGCTGCTAGTCAAAACATGGTGGTTAGAACCCACCAACTGCTCTGTGGGAGAAATATCAGACAGTAGGTTCCCAGTAAGATACACAGCCTGAGAAACCCTATGGGAAGTTCTATTCTTCCCTAAAGGATAACAATGAGTCACTACTGATGTGACTAGCAGTGTTACACATTTTGGATTATTTTTTGACTACTTTTAAAAAGATTTTAAGAACAATGAAATAGAATCATTTCAGAACCTTGTATCTGCATTACATACTTTGGAAATAAAAGTAGTTATCAAAAAATGTTTAGTAGAATACCCCCCCCCAATTACTAATACGGAAGGTAGCAACATTTAAGTTACATCACAAGTTATTTTTAAATAAATCTGTCATATCAATTAGATGAAACATAAGCAATACAAACTGATGTTTTCTATAATTAACCATTAGGGAAGGTGAGGCTGCTAATGTTTTCTTAGGAAGTACAATTCCAAAGAAAATGGGAGTGAGGGAAAGAGAAGAGAGATGAGGAGTGATGGGAAGCAATATCAGTTGTTAAGACAGCAACTGGATTTCAGCAGTAGAAGTTTCATATTTCATGTAGAAGATATGGACTCAATCTCTTTCTACTGCACCCATGTGCTGACAATCTCAAACTCATTCTGGTTGAGTTTGAACCAACTCATAGCTAACCCTCAGAGAGTGTAAATCATATGAGAAGAATTAGACCATTTTCTTGCTGAAAATGCTATTGGATTTGAACTTCCAGAAATGTGTCATCTCTGGGTTAACTCATTCCTGCTGACTCTGTCACGAGAGCATTCTTGTTGCTAGGTACCATCTAGTTGACTATGATTTGTAGCGCCCTATGAAGAATAGATCTTAACCTGTCCTATTCTGCACCACATC